GCATCTCTCATTAACTGCCTTTCTGTGTCGTTCAGCAGGTCCTAACGGTGGTTGTGACTTCATGCGCATCGCACAAGTTGTGTCATGTAGCTTCTTGCTCTTCGCTTGCTTTCAACGATGATCCCTGGGCAACATGAATTACTGCAGATGAGCCTACTAGTTCCAGGCTATCAAGTGTGGATCCACGTTGTTCTTGAAGTAGTTGACGCTTGTGCTTTTAATGGTGAATGCCTACTTGTTCGTGCCATACAGCATTTTTCGCGAGCGTTTCTACAGCTGCATGCATTTGCTGGCCTACTAAGGCAGCTTCCTCTAGAAGTGGTACTGTTCTCTGGATGTAATTATAGACTGAAAACAAATCACCAAGATGCAGAGCATCTAACCCTGTGAAACAGGTACATACAACGTCCGGCCTTTTGACAACCACTCTGCTGCCTCGTGCACAGTGACGCTTTGAAGACTTCGGGGAAGGCAAAGCTGACAATGCTGCGAGGCCTTGATACTCTTGAGGCGTCACTGTACAGGAGGCACCACAATGGCTGAATCACACCTTACTGACTTCAACTACCCACAGTCAGCTGATTATTGTTCACAAAAGCAGGACTGCTGCTTACAGCGATAGCTATTCGATCCCTCGCATATGCTTGCTTGTAACGCTGCATGGTGCTATTGTAGTCGCTCCGACGCATGTGAGATACAGGAATCAGGCTCTCACGGCCAAAGTGGCTATGGGACGCAACGGAGAAGATCTCCTTTAGCTGTTGAAATTATGTGGATATATCTGACGTTTGGAGCAAACATGTCGATCGATTAGAGATGACTATTTACCTTTATACCTATTGCATGCATGCTCCCTGCGGGTCAAGAATTCACTTGGTGCGCTGGAGCGCCGACGGTTTGCTTCCGTCTTTTTCGTGCCAAGATCTTGGAGGCACTACACTGTTTGGCTTCTGTGTCCGAAATATATTTTGCTAGACTGCATCTTGCGCCTTCTCAGCACGCTGGTACAGTAGTGCTTGCCACTAGAGCGTTGCACAGGAACAAGCTCTATGTGCTGAAGCATTTATCTATTGCATCAGTAAAGATGCAGCAGTTAACGAAACCTGCTACAGACTAGGCCTCCAAGGTTTCCTGCCGATAACGCTGGCTTCGGGGCTTGTAGTGTGAGCGCAGCAGACGGAGGCACGCATACGGAGGGACACCAGTGGTCATACTGGAGGAAACGCGGAACAGGTGTACAAGACAGTACGCGATTCTGATGCTCCAGTTTATGTTATGTCGCTAATAGGCGACTCTGTAAGCATAGATATTCAGGGTATCGATGAAGAGGCTTTTACGTGAAGGCTAGTCACGTTTGGTAGCGTGCTCGACACGTCTGCGGGAACGTGTGATTGCATTCATAAGGCCACATAAGCCTAGCATCTGCGGTAAAAAGGGAACACGCGTGAGATACACAGCGTTTGTGAAGCAAATCTGCTGTCGTCTCGTATTGGATGCTTCTCGCGTTGTCCAGCTGTCATTTTTGCTGCATTCGACACTGTCGGGGAGTGCCGGGCTGCTGCACAAACTGCTGACAGGGAAATGTTTTATTGGGAAACGAAACGCACGATAAAGTCATTTACGCTAACATGCTCCAATGCCTCTAGTGGCGCTTGCTCTGCTATGCATAATTTCGAGACCTGCCGCTATTCATACCATTGAAGCTGTTTGCCGTTGATTAAGCGATGCCGAGGCTGACTCGCTCTACACTTTGCCAGTCGTAGAATCGTGTCAGGCAGGCGCCAATACTCTAGTGCACTGAGGCTCAGCATTGCGCTGAGCTCATCTGTCGTAGCAGGGCCACTCTGGAGCATCATGCTCTTCTTCAGATTCAGTGGAAGTGAACCTGCCCCGTTAAACTGAGAAATACACTTTTGTTGCTCAGCTACCATTTTGGGTAGTAATGGTCGACGAACGACTTCATCCTGAACAAATTTTACTGCGAGTTTCTTTTCCACGTATAGAACTGTCAAGAGACTTAAAGAGTGAAGCATATTGGTGGCACAAATGAGCATGACGCGCATAGCAAGGGCTTGACGCAAAGATTCAACAAAAAGAAGAGAGCTGAAAGCGCTGAATCATCTTGCTATATAACTGGCAAAAAAGTAACAGAAAATCCCACAGTAGTGGCGATGTCATCGTGAAGACCGACGAAACTTTTTTAGCTGGTATAATTTTGCTTGAGACACAAGAGTCATGCTCCTAAACGTTGATGCAACAGCGGCGACTGAAACGTAGTTCAGGTGCCGAGAGGTGCAATTGTGTGCTTGAGGCAAAGACTGAGGCTGTTTCCTGGATATGCAATGCTCTCGCTGCCTGAAATCGAGCGGCCTGCTGAGCGCGTGGCAAAAAAAGTTCATGCCGCTGCCTGGCTTCACCGTAGTGCGCGAGCACTACAATAGGTTTCGTTGGGCCTCAAGAGGCCAACAATAGAGAAGAACAGGGAATTCCTTGGAACTGGCTAAACTTCCACTGTGTCTAAGGCTCAGCCGCTGCGTCCCACCGTACGCTATGTCGCCAGACAGATTCTGGTGCCACCCCGGATGCAGACGCATCATCGTAACCCTTGGGGAATCTAGTCGTGGACGTCAAGGCGACAGCCTGGCGCCTTCAGCCTGCCCTTATTGGAGGTCTCTAAGGTAAAGCCAGTGTCAAGGCACCCATTGTACGCTTAGCGATCCTCTTGCATACTAAGCCGGGGGACTGTTCCGGGATATATATTTGCCAGAAGTAATCGCGACGGGCCATGCTTCGGATTATGCACGGTTACTGCGAAACCTAGCACAGTCACAATAAACTGTGTTGCATACGGGGACATCGGAGCCTCCAGTCGCCTTTCCAGGGTTATCTTGCGAAGGCGGCAAAATCATCAAGAGCTTTCTGGAAATGAGTAAGCTACGTTTCACGATGTATGGGATACAACAACCGAAGTGGGGGCTCGAGCTTGCGGAATACCACGAATGGGACGCCATGGTTAGACCTGAGGGCCACCCGCACGGACATGAAAAACTGGGCAGACCTGAATCGTGCCATCCTGTAATGTATTAGCAAAGACACCCGGGAGTAAGTAGCGAGCCGGCTTGCCAGCAACTGGCGGAGTTGCAACCATCAGCAGTCCCCGACATTGGGGAATGCCGATCCCTGCAGCCGACCTCATCCATTGTGTTGTTGTCTGGCGGGATTGGCCCTCGAGTTGAGTAGCGCGGCAACCTGCTGGCGAAACGTTCGATTTCCGCATTGGAGAGCACCAGTGGCAGCGCTAATGGGACCCGAAACCCCGTGGGTGCAGACTTCTGGGGAACTGCGCAAAGGGCGGCATGAGCTAGGCACTAGGCGACTGCCCACGCCACCGGGCATCATCAGTAGACCTGTATTCACAGGGGCGTGAACGAACTTCCGTCGCCCTAAGTTCGAGATGGAAGTGGACTGCTACAACTTTAAGGGGAAGGGACATATGGTGTGGGACTGCCCCTCCCTCATCCCAGAGTGGGGTTATGCGATGCGGTGGATTGGGATACTACGCGGGGGAGTGTTACATCGCTGCTCGTTTAAGGTGAGGCGATGAGAAAAGGCCCAGAAAATAGCCACAGCAACCCAGTGGTAGGAAGACGGAACGTTTAAAGGAAAGACCCTAGGTGTCGGCGGAGAAGAACGTACTAGGCAGACAGCACGTTGCAAGGGCACGATCCTTGCAGTAGCAACAGAGCCTAACACCAATTTCGCTTCCACAGAGAGGCGCAAAGGGTTGTTTGAAGGAGGTCACCGAACAGGTGCAGAAACGTCGAAGAAGGGCACGAGCCTACAGACTATGGACGAACACAGGAGATCGGAGTCCGTAACTATGTCGCGTATTGAGGTGCCGCGCAAGAAAGAAATTAGCTGTGCAGCGAAAGGCCGTGTAGATGACGAGGGCGCTGTGCGAGTGGATGGTGCTGACATGCCTGTCTGGTGGAAAGAATTTTCGCAGCAGAGGGAATGAACTCAAGCAGTTGTTGTGTAGCAGGTGAACGAACGCAGTGCTCAGCGTTGAGGTGGGTGGGAAGCCTTTCAAGGCAGCCCTAGATGATGGGGCTTCCAGCAGTTTCGTTAGCCCTAACACGGTGGAACGCATACAGCTCAAGGTGCGGCAACTACCAAAGTAGTGGATGATTACCATAGCCAAGGGGGACAAGTTGCATACCGATCACGTTGTGAAGTCGTTAACAATGTGGTGCGCGAGAGAACGTTTCTTGGGAGACTTTTTTGTAGGACCGATAGCCTGAAAGTTGTTGGTGGGGCTAGACTTGTTCACTGGACAAACGGTAGCCTGGTATTTCCAATGGGCCAACCTACCTATTTGGGCGGCAGCTGCTGTGAACTACCCATCTTCAGAGTATGCGTGGACCATTCCGCCGCAGGCCACCCCAAACGAGCAATCCAAAGAATCCCTGCGGACCGAACATACAACTTGCCGGCTAGATAGGTGGTGAACATAACGTAGGCAGAAGCGGCAATGCTCCTGCCCCCGACTCCTGAAAGGTCAAAGTCCCACACTAGGGCTATGAGAAAGCTGAAGATCGAAGCTCTACTTCACGAGGCAACTAGAGAGACAAAGAACGCAAGGGGTCATCTGCGTGTTCGTGCTAGCCTTTCTTGACACTGGGGAGACCACGACAACCAGCTCACGGGCTGAAGAACAAAAAGCTCCGCTGTAATGTGGTCGCTCAGCACGCCACCAGCGCTGGGGAGACCTCTCTTGTGACCCTGGGCTACTTACAGCGACAGCCATACATTTTCGCGTGCTGTATTTTTTGTTATCGGCATGACCTGCCGCATTCCAGCGTACTGCGCCCACATTCGCAGTGAAATGTCCACAGACTGCACAAGTGACGGCTGGCAGTTTCTGAACTTTTTTGTGATTGGGAGGCAGAAAGTTGTCGCTGCAGTATTCCGCGGCTTCTCCAACAAAAGTGGAATGCAAAATGTTTGCAGCGGAGCGCAGCGGGTCCAAGGGATTCTAAGGTATAAAGACAGGAGGGATCCCTAGCAGGGGCTCTGTCTCCCGTAGCCACGACAGTGGCAGATAGCCCGGATCGTTTCTTTTCACTGTGAAAGAAGCTGTCATATGCGTAATTCAGCATGGGGACGGCGTTCAACATGCCTTCACGTCAACGCATTGACTGTTCGGGATACAGAACCCGCAGTGCAGTATTTCAGGACGCCCAAGAGAACATAGTCGCAAAACGTTGTAAAACTCTTGAACTGGATTGACGGTAGGCAACTTGAAGCCTGTTATGAGAAGAGGAGGAATCAAGCACGGTAATTCCCATGTGCACTTTACCTTTCATTGGTGGGTAATAATTTGCGGTCAGCACTGCAGCTAGATCTAGGTGCAAGGAAAGCAAAACAACTAGCTGGGCAGGAGACAAAAGGCATAATGTCACCAGATATTGAAGCAAATTTTTGTTTTGAAGTCTCGTGTAATCGCGAGTTGGCCAGACATGCAACCCTGTCCGTGATAGGACTATGAGCTGAAGACGGATAAAAAGCTACACAGGGATAGTGTAATGGTGCTGCAGGAAAATTCACTAGCAGCGGACCTTATGCTCTCCAGTATACACATCAGAATAAGGAAAGTTTAAAAATTACTGTTTCGCATTTTGCCTACCATTGGTTATGGCATCGGGATCACGTGTGAAGCGCCTACGCCTACTACTGCAGACGCCAATGACGGCATGAGTTTTCATCTGGAATATACCTGTCTATGGCTTAAATGAAGTAGGAAAATCTGTACTTGGTTTCTAGTGAAAAGGCAGCAGACAAACGCAGGACGGCAACTAGAAGGCACAGCAACATGTCGCCAATCGCGGATCCTGAATACTCTCACGGAAAGGCGCAGGATAGGACGAAGCTGTGCATACTGAAGCAAGTATATACCACGAAGTAAAATCAGCTTTGCATCTGGCTGATGGACGAAGCAATAACGCGTATTCAGTGGCCTCATCGCAGCAAAAAGTCCCACTGCTCTCAGGGAGAAGACGAAATGCATGGGTATTATGCCGACGGAAATACTGCTGCTGCCTTGCATGCAGTCCTAAGTCATGTGTAGTCGTCGCGAAGATGCTCAAACGTGCTCTTCGCGCCTTTGAGCGAACAAGCAAAAATTTTGTACACGGCTTGTCTTTTGTTTGGATGTGGGGCCCTTCGCATGGGTGAATGGGTGGCTTTCATTGTCGTCGCACATACCCTGGCGGCTCCTACAAGGAAGAATACATCCCGTCGCTTTTGTTTACCTTCAGCTTGTCGGTCCAGCAACCTGCGGCATCTCGCCAGAGAGCCCTGCTCAAATTGATCCAGAAGCTTTACGAGCTCGTGGAATCTAAAAATGGTGCGCTTTTGCTCTGGCGGAATCACCGCCTGCTTCGAGGCAACTCCAGGTGAAAATTGTTTTCCGAATAGCCTCTGTCATGAACACACGACAGAACAAATGCCAATATTCACTTGATGGCTCCTCACTCAAACGTCTGCGCCAGGTTGGCAGTATATGTTTTACATGCCCTCTATCGCGTTGCCCCAAATATTGCTCACAGCACTAAAGAATCCTCCTGCATTGCCTGCTAGCCCTTCTACCTCCCTTCGTAATTGCTTTTCTGCCTTTACAGCAGGTTAGTTGGACTCTTCTGTGTCGTCAGATCGATTAGCCATACCCATCTGCTGATAATGGTAAGTGCTTTCTCCAGTCAGGGGAGACTTCCATGGGCTTGGTCGCTGTTGTGCCTGCTTGCGTGATTCATTTACCTGGCCGCCGGTTTCTAGTGGTGGTACCCCCAGCAAAATGTAGAACGCTGGTCTGCTCGTTGAAACGTTTACTTGCAGCGTTTCCAGTAACGGTACTTGGTGCCCCATATGGTCTCAAGCACACTCATGGCAATTCCTTTCATAGCGTTTCACCTTTGTTCGTGTCCTCTCATCTGTGGCAACCGTCTGTTCAATATCCTCTACACCGGCATTAGTGGCGCAATAACGCATTTCACTCGAGCTGCTGCTTTCCTTGTTGTTCCACCGCGTGCTTCTTTTGTCTGCCCCTAGTTCCTCTTTAAATAGCTTGGATATCAAGGAGAACGTTGTCGCGCCTCCTTGCAATGGCCACCGGCCGTAGGCCGGCCGTAGGGCTTCCGTCGCCTCTTCCTGCAGTGACTTCCTCTAGTATTCTGGTCTTCTTGGCTGACATCGCTACGTGGAGACTTTACACAGTAACGCTGCTGACTCTCATCCCGTACCGCAGCAAAGCATCGTCTTACTACTATCGTTAGCTTAAAATTGTGCCAATCAGTATATTTTATTAGTTTCTACTGTTATTTCCCCATCGAAGCTTCGCGCATTTTAAAGCGCAAGTAGCGGCACAACAAGACCTTGGGTGTCCTAAACTCAAAGAAGTGGATGACTAAAAATGAGCGGCACAGGATATGCACTCTGCAATTAGGCACAGTGATCGACGGAGCGAAATGATACTCAAATGATAGCAGCTGGCAGATTTTCAAAGTTCAAAAGAGCCAGAGCTAATATGCTTGAAATACTGTGAAGCAGGCTGCGAGAGGATTGATAACTCCACGATGAGGCTGACTAAAAATGTCTGATGATACATCAAACAACGAATTGAAGCAGCAAACATTGGAATAGTACAAAGTGTGCTGACATTGTGGAAGGCGAACTGAGAAAACTGTTATATTTTGATGGACATTAATCTTTTACATTATCAATCAACTGCTTAGTGGAAGATGAATCAAACTTGGATTAGCCTAGTTCCTAACATTTTCTGTCACTAACCTTCGCTTTCGCTTTCAAGGTTGTGCAAGATGCTACTCCGTGCATAGCCCGAAAAGATACAGGAGATTTTTGTTTCTACCCAAGGCTGCATCCTTCGCGGAGCCGTGCTGCTTTGGGGTCCAGTTATGGGCAGCCTTGTTCATTCATAGCAGCACTCTGTGCTGCATGCTCTCTGGAGCGTCAAGCGGCTACTGCTTACGTAGCACTGTCTTTGATACAGTGAATACGCGTTATGAAATACGACTAATTTGCTTGTATATCAAAGCGCTAGAGCTAGGGCTGTAGAGTGTCCCAGCACTCCATCTTGCGTTCGATTTTTTCTGAAAAATTTGCTATGGGAGCACGAACTGCGCGATTGGAGACGTTGGATTCTCTCCAGTTGCAAACAAAAAAATACATGTCGGCTGATGGATCAAAAGCGTAGATTCTTTTGCTTCTTACAGACGATACCGGCTATAACACCTTCTAATTTGCGATTGGCAACTTTAGACATATTCGTGTTACAGCTAAGGTTTCTCTGCAGACGCGAGAACTCTTAATCGGCGAATGCGAGTTGCTCCAGCTCCCCAGTTGTCTTTGAGTACTACATAAACCCGCTGTGTCACCCAACCAGCTCCACCGCAGAATGCATCGCCGTTGCCCGCTCTTTGATTTTCAGTTTCCCGCAATTCACCAAGAGGCTTGTCGAAACAAAATACTTGCACCGCCTGAGTTCGTGCGCAGCGATACTCGAAGTTTCCCACTCGACACAATTTTTCAGCTTCTTTAGTACCCCATATGGGGAAGATCTCCTTGCTGGAAAGCATTCTTGGGCAAGCACCGTCACTTTGTCCTTCGAGGCGCACGTAGATGGAAAACCAGTGCATTTCAACTGGGTCGCAGTGCGGAGATGTTGTTGCAGTTGTTTCTATGGCAATTGCAAAGATCAGAGCACGTCGTCCCAGGGAAACAGCTATTTGACCGTGCTTCTCCGTAAGCAGGTATGTAGCATTGCTGTCGTAAACGAGGCGTCCTGGATCATTTTTGTAATTGTAGATAGGGAAGTAACTTCGAAGAAGCCTCGTCTCTTCGAATTCTGGAGCTGCAGATAGGGGCGAATGAGCTGCAAAAGTATCACTACGCATGTTGGGCATTGCGAACGAAGCTACTGCTTGCAACAACTCTGATAGAACAAGGGCTGCTTGGGAGACACCCCCAGACGTTCGAGCATAATCGATAAAACCGCCAGCACTTCTTGCCGCGACATCTTCCCCTAAAACCTGGCATTCTTTCGAAGCTGAATCGAGACCTATACCACAAAGTTCTTCTCTAGATTCTCCGCAAGTATACCCAAGCCGTGCACACTGAGGCTGCGCTCCACATGGATGAACAAGATAAAAACGGCCACGTACTGCTGGACCGCTATTTCCAACGGAGTCCAGAGGAGCACTGAACTCAGGAATGTTTGGCCACGTGGCGGCGCCGTGTGATCGTTGCCAAACCAGATAGCAAGCACAGCTGGCAGCTACAAGTGCAGATACTGCCCACCATAAAGGCTTTTGTGAACGTTGCGCAGGCGGATGCTCTCTAAACGTGCGAACTAGCCACCTGATCAGCGGCCGAAATCCTAAATACCTCAGTAGGATCGCATGATATAGGAAACACAAGCACTTCCAGGTAAGAGTTTGTGTCTCCCTCTTCCCGTAGAACACGAAGCTGCTTGCTTCTGCAGACTCACGACGACCTGGACAAAGAGTTTGTCTTAAACGTTCTAAACTCCAGGATCGTGGCTGTCCTTCTGCAGGCATTGAGACTTCGCGACCTGTCACGGCTTTTGGAAAGAACATCTGCGCAGGCGAATGCACGAGCAGATGATCATCACCATTGTCGCTAGTCTCCGGATTTTGTAGTTGAGCCCTAAGCCTGACAACCGACATGTCGGAACTCCCGGTTCCTCTGCTGCGACCATGACGCTCCTGTAATGATGATAATGGGACATCGACACCAATGCCGGTGGACGTCTCATGGCCATCTCTTGTTGCCGCAGAGATGTTGGCCGGTCCGTTCTGTATTTCTGTCACCACGGGTACATGTAACGGATCAGTTTCCTTGGACAGCCGAAATTTTCTGCTGTGATTTTCAGCACTTGTAAGGATAGTTGGAAGTGTTGGAGAAAGGCGCCGTATGCGACGAGGCCTATTTTGTCTCGCTGACGTTGCCCCTGCTTCCTTAACCTTCTTTGAAGCGCGTCGAGGACTTGTGTTTTCCCTGTTTTCTGCATTAGGACTTCCTGTAGTGGTCTTCGAGCTTAGCGCGCCGTGTAATGGAAGTGCACGGTTCCGTGGTGACAATGCCGGCTTGTTATTTCCCCTGCGAGCTATTGCAGAGCTGTTTTTCGCCGCTTGAGGGGTGACTGACGATTCCAGGGGAATCGTAAGTGAAACATGAAGGCCTAGGCGATCGACGCGTGCTCCACTTACGGACACCTTTGGATCTGTCTTGTTCAAAGTAAAAGGACCGGCAGTCGACGCATTGAAACTTTGGCGATTCTCTGGCACAGGAAGTGCTACAGCGCCCCTACGTTGCCTTGTCGTCACCATCGTCTTTGCGCCATAAGTCGGTACCACAAATAGATGCAGGAGACTGTTTGCTACTTCACTTCTACAACTGTAGCGTCCTGGCGTAGGACCACTGTTGTGCGCCCGTTAACGCGATAGCATGTTCCAATGCATCAGAAGCAATACGTTGCGATGCCTGAAGGCATTTCTTTGCAGGCCTTCATCTGTTGGACAGATATATTTTGTTTATGTACATTTTTTTCGATTGTGCTCCGAGTAAAAAGCTGCACGGGAGCTCTTATCAGAGAGTCACTACAGCCTATAGCGGTCTGGAATTCACACTTCAAGCTTTCGATCAAAACGTATCAGTGTCTTTTTGTATCACTTTTAGCGCTACAAGCGTTTACTACATTAACTTTCTCTTGGCAATGCCGCAAGCAATTTGCTTAGTGGGCCAGCAAGATTTGTGGGGCTTGCATGTACTCAGCACTGCAGCTCCTTCAGGGCCCCAAATACGGTAGATGCCAGAATCAACTGTATTCACGTGTTTCTGAATCCTAAAGGAAAGATTTTATTACAATAAACGTATGCCAACGTGCGAAGCCTGGAAGGTGCGACTTCACCTACCTATTCGAACCACCAGGTGACCAGTGACTGCGAAGTATATTAAAATGACGTGAAATGTTTTGTAGAAAGCTCCCTGGTGTATTTTCCTATTCACACTAGCAGAGAGAATTCAAAAGTGTGGCGTGGATTGTCCCTGATCGCTAAACTTTCCAAGCCTCCTGGAGGGTTTTGCTCCAGCACTGCCTGCATTTTGCTCTGCGCCTGCTCTGAGCATTTGGGAGTCTACCATCGTGTTAAAGCCACATAAGGGTAGCACACGTGATTAATAGAAATTATTGAGCTTATCACTGTAGAGAGCCACTCTTACACCTTGTCAACGCATTTTACACACATGCCTCGCCTTTTGACATCAATATTCGTCGTCAGCTATGAAACAAGGCAGCTATGACAGAGACATGCAAAGAGAACTCATTGTCAATACAAAACAAATGAAGAGAACGAAGTGATTAAAAACGAATGCCTATGAAAGAAAATTAAAATTCTCCAGAGAGTGCTCTCCAACTCGTTTAAGAGTGATCGTTAATACACTAAAGTTAAAAATTTAACAAAAGCGAAAATGTGCGGCTACGTCGCGAAGACGCAAAAAGGGCAAGCAAGCAGAGGGAGGCAGTGTCAATAAATGCGCATTCGTGGGGACCTTCAAAAACGCGTGGCTCTGTTTCTCTCTCTTTTCGGGAACTAACATTGAGGTCCTGGAAAAGCCTTCGGAGTGGCACCATAGTTACGCATTACAAGCATCTGGGCGTCCTTTGGTGATAATGAGGAGCACTGTGTAGCAGGTGCCATGCAGTAAGTCCAACTGTGCTGAAGATGTAACAGCAGCAGTTGCCTTGTGATTCAATGGATCTTTTTGAGTGCCCAGATTCGGAGCGATCTTGTTCAATCCGATGAGGAGTTGGTGTTCCAAATGGAGCCCCGCGGGAACGAATAGGCTTGATCATGCCCTGATAGCAGACTAATTCCGACGCTCACAATATTTTACATCGACTGGCAATGAAAGGCGAGCCGAAATCTCCGCTATATTTAGTCTAGTGCTTCAAGCAACACAAGTCTTAAGTAATCACGCACAACAGTCCTGCTTAGCGCTCCGAAATTAACCGCCACCTAAACAAATTTTGTTCGCACAAGTTAACAAGAAGCCCGTTTGCCTGCCTTTCCGGCTGACGATTATGCTGCAACAGTGGATTTGTTTTGTTCACAAAACAACCCGCAGCTACATTGTTGTAAAAGGGCAAGCACGAAAGGCTAACCGAGCAATCCGCTAGCCTTGCTCATTAGAGGCCCTTTGCTTTCTACAGCTGTCCGGACAGCTACCACGTGTGGCTTGTGAGTTGGCGAGTGTTGAGTATGGCCGCTGAGAAGGAAGATGCCTATTGTGTAGACAGCTTTCACCGGGGTTTGTGGGTTTGCGAGTGTTGAGTATGGCCGTTGCGAAGGAATGACTATTGCATAATGGGCAGTACTCTTTGTAGGACAAATGTCCTTGCAATGCGGTCATGTATATTTCTTCAATGGCTCAGCAGTACATTCGTGACCGCTATAGTAGAGTGTAGTGCTAATATTTTCATTGGTCTCACAAGAGTCCAAAGAACAAGCCTTTTACTTGGGAATAAAGATGCAGAGCTTGCGAAAACAGTCCTATCTACAAGTGTACTGGATATTTTTCAATACATTAGATTAATAAAAGTAAACCGCCTTCAAAGTGCCTTCAAACTTTGAAATTTTCTGCCAGCTTTGTCTGCAGCCAGCCCCTTCTTGCTGTGGTAGGAATGGTGTGGAGGGTAGCGACAGAGGCAAAGTTACACAGCAAACTCCAAAAAGGAGAGCTTGCCCCCGAAGTCATCTAAGTAATGAATGCCTGTTTGTGAAAATGGGCATGCCTTCTGTACTTTTTCATTCATGAGCACAAGCCATGTGCTTTCGGTTAGATCAGAAGCTGCTATACATCTCTTTTTCGCAGAGGAGGCGATGTACAGTATACTTCCACCAGGATTCGAGCAGCTATACGATGGGGTGGTGACCGCGTGGTTGGTTTATCAATACGCGGAATACAGGCGGAGCCTTTCTAGGGATCTTGCACTGCGCGTGTCCCAATTCCATAAATCCCCTTGCCGTCTCCAACCTTTCCTCAGCAAATGATGCACATCACGGAATACAGGCGATTTCTCGCCATAAAAGAAACATATATGTATTGGTTTTACCAGTACCACAGGGAAGACGAGGTGACACTGTTCGTTGGCCCGCCGCAGTTTCCCCCTATGTACCAGACACTTTTGTCTTGACGTTCAAACACTCACCGTGTAAGACGGCAGACGCCATACTTATTGCAAATACGGACACTTAAAATATGTAGTGTAATGCTTTCACAGAAAAATGCAGCAGCAGGCAACTAGATATTGTCCACCACGAGGCGCCCATTCAAACCGTGGAGACCCGCCAAAATTTGACTTTCTTTAAAGTACCGTCTCTGAAGTACCTATCCAGGGCTCTTTCGAAAATAAATAACATGCAAGCGCGCAGATAGGCTACTGTTGCACCCGTTCTATAGTTTCCCCTCGCCTTGGCTTTTACGCTTATTCTTGCCATGCACTCGCTCTTTCTTTTTGACGCGTAATTTTCTCAGCCGTCACGTGACTCCCATTCTCTTGCTCTTTTGTGCATTTGTAGGTATTATAGTAGTGGAAAGGAACTTCAAGAGAAAACTCCCAGGAGGAAAAAGTAAACGTACTAAAAGAAAAAGAACACGGAGGAAAGGTGGCAGATGAGACAGACGTGCAGAGCCGTAGCGAGAAAGTCGAAGATGCCGTCAAGGAAGCTGCAACCCCATAAGCGGCGAGGCTAATCCCAATTAGTCACTCGGATGATGGATGCGTGCGGCTGCCGAGCTGCCGCATGATGACTGCGAAACACAGTCACCACAAACTCAGAATGCGGTGAAAAAAAGGATAGAATGAGGTTCGAAGCTCAGAATGCGTTGCCACTGTAAATTTGGCAGTATGAGATGCTTTCTGCTATCCTTTTTTTCCAACACATTCCGGCTTTATGGTGATGGTGCTGCGTCTGTCTCCCCGTCGTCGATCTCGGCCCATGCCAGATCCTTCCGGTTAAAGTATGGCAGACCAGAGGTATTTAATTTTTTTTGTTCCAAAAGTGCGTGAGAGTAGCAGCCGCCACAATGATTTGAGCGCTGACCGCTTGATGCTTAGTTACTAGCTCCAAGCTACAGCGTCTGAATGCACCGTGCACACAAAGGATGTGAGGGATCCCTCTTTTCTTCGTAAAAAATGGGGTTTGTTAGGGTACTTGTGACGAATTTTCGCAAAAATTCTCACAATTTTTCCGCTGTCACCACAAACGCAAAATCGTAAACGGCAGAGTAGCCCAGTTCGGCTAAGCAAAATTAAGTCGCTGTCTACCTTACGTAATCTCCACAAGTCACGAATTGGTCCTCGCCACTTCATCGCATCGTACTCCCAATTACTCTTGGTTAGAAGTTACGAAATCGTAGGTCCTTCGCTGCGTTCTTAGGAAAGCAATTGTTCCGAAACAATTTCGTTTCGCTTGGGGAACGAATTCCCTGAAAGGGGAAACATACTGAAAAAGCATCGTTCGAGCGTTGAGATGCCAACAGCCTTCAGATATACCGGATGATATCTGCCTTTTTCGATCCGCTATCTGATTTGGAGCCGAAAAGTGGGCAGCCGGTGAAGACAGGATGGAGGCTGCTATTGGACAGGCAATACAGCATAAAAGTACCGTGAGTTTGGGATGTGCCAGGAAGTACCGGCACTCATTACCGTACTGACTCACTACTGGTGTTTTTCAAAGCTGTACAGCTATTAAGGCATTCCGGAAGGACAAGACGTGGCATAAAAAGTTAAGACAAACCGCTGCGATAGTCCACGCAGATCATTTCTCTTTGAGTTGCTGCTCTAATAAAATAGAAAATAACGCAAATAGGTCGGGAAGTGGCGAGTTTATCTTGCCCATAGAAGAAGCCCCACAAAGCCAGCAAACGAGGCTCGCCAGTTGTGTGACACTGAGAGGAAGCGCAGGTAGTTCTGAAAGGCAGAATGGAAGTTGTTCTTGCAGCGCCAGAATTAGTTGAAGATGATGTTGCTCTCGAGCGTGCCATAGAGTGCCCTCAATATTTTGTTTTGGGCTTACAGCTTCTGCATGCTCAGAAAGACGTGTGTAGTGCGCCTTAATCGCAGTGACCCAAGGTTCGATTTCTTGAGCGTTCTTGTAGGAACTTTTGTTCCGACCTGCTGCGGGAGAAGTACGTTTTGGCTCTTTAATTTCTAGGGTGCTAAAACTGGTGTCAAGTCTTCCAAGGAATGCATCGTCACTTGACTGCAGGGAAGTAGGTTCACACACGACAAATCTTCGTACTGTCTGGATGTTCCCGTCCGGCATCTCACGTTCACTGCAAATATCTGAACTTTTTGAAGCTGTAGGAAGATTGGAAAAAGATGGCTGAGATGCTGTTCTCGAAATGCCAGGCCTTGTGGGCCCTTTCACCAGTGAAACGGCCTCCATTCTACCGCAGTTATACATAAAATCAGGTAGGAGTGGATCTTTTGATGCCTGTTGCAGCTTTTTCCGTCAGGGATGTTGATGAATCGTCTACCCATTGGCGGGCACTTGTCTTTCTTATTAGCTAGGAGTCACACTGCGGTTGTGAAGCAGTACTATTGTCCGATGCTGTGCAATAATAGACACTCCTAGAGACCCAATGCTTCTTCTTGCTTTTTCACCAGAGGCTGAGTGCCGTCTAGTTATAGGCTGCCAAATACCAAGCGAAACGCACAGCACACAGAGATACGAACGTGAAACTGTCAAAAAGACAGACAGCCGGCCCTACCCACCAAGATTTGTAAGTGCCTGCACATCCCTGTGCTTGGTAAGAACAACTCCAGCCCATTCCGGCTAGTGTTGTGCGTGTGAAAAGAATAAGCTGCTTGACGAAGCTAACTGCTTTCTGAAGACATACACGAGAACGTCACCAACCAGCACAGGAACCAGCACATGATGCTCTTTCCCCCAGTGAAAAGTTTACACATGTTTCTTTGGTTAATATAAATTGCTTTCGAAACATAGCGCAATGTAAGCAGTGACACTGCTAAGTATAAACTCCACGGTGAGGCCTGTATAGTGAGCTCGTACCTGTCGTGGTTGAAATCTGCCGAAATGAATGGCTCACGAAGGTGCTAACTGTTGTAGGTGCAAACGTATTTATAAACTCTTTAGGCGAAAAGATGCAAAAAAAATAATGTCTTTTTCACTCAGAGGGAATATGAATGCAATCACATACACCAGAATGCATGCGCAGGCTTGCCGCGTTCACCAGCCAGGTTTTTGCGTTGTCCATTAATCGTCAACGGGCACTATGAGACAGAATGCATTATCACAAGTTTCTTTCATCTTTCTTTTTTGCTGTTTTCATCCGTGACTTTCCCTCTAGTGGGGGGTTCGATGCAACGGCAGGGCACTTATAACTGTCTCAGCGAGCCACTGAAATGTTTGCAGTTTCATCTCACTAGACGAGAACACATGGCATGCATGCTAAAGCCTTCAATAGATAAAAACAATGAAATAACCCTTCATGCTACAACAAAGTTTCCCCTGCAGATCATTTAGATTTGCCATCAAGAGCGTTTCACAAGAAATAACTTTGGCCGGATGTCCTTGCGACCACTTACATGAACGGATGCAGTTTCTATGCGCAACTCCACATATATGCTATCGAGACCTGCAAATAAAACAAAAATATAGCATATGTTATCGAGACCGGCAAATAAAACACAAATATAGCTCTAGTGCAGAAGCTAAAGGAGCATGGATTCGGCATGATTTCGCACAGAATTCATGAAACGGCAGGGCAGCGTAGCCACTCTTACCTTGCTCGCAAAGTCGAAAACGTCAAACCTGAGTGCGCTTCCGTTTGATTCAGTGTCGCAACCATCCGAATCGATTCATTTGCGTCCCCCCGTGCAATAGGAATAAGCGAACGGTCTACCACAAGGCATGTAGCTGGCACGTAGTGCCTTGCCCTTCAGGTGCGAAAAATTAGCCTGCTGGCTGCAAGCGGGGCACCGCAGTTTTTTACCTGCTGTAAATGACATCTTGAACGTTCTTATTTAAGAAAATTTTGTAAAGACAACCTCGTTATGAAATGTTTTCTTGCGAAGGAAACATTCTTCGTAATCTTGCTAATGTGCTTTCTGCATGCCTTAGGCCTCCCCTAAGCCCTAACATTAAAGCCCAAGACCCTAAACTGCTTCCATTTGGCTGTGTCAATGAGGATATTACTCTAATTTTGGCCACGGAGATGAGCAGAGAAAAAACCTAGCTAGCCTGCGGTGGCGAGACAGTCTCTACAACATGCTGCAAAAGAAATCAAGTCTTCAGAGAATAATTAAGCAACTAGAAATATTATTGAAAAATGGCATTGACACTGAAGTGTGTCCAGGAGACCATGGCAATTCTTCAGGCAAATAAATTACATTAGCGACGTCTTTCAAGGCGGATATGGCGCAGTGTAAGCCATAAGACATATTCGACTACAGAAAGCGATTTTGGATGGGCGAGTTGCTCTGCTTTCGACCTTCCCTATTCTGAAACACGGAAAGGCAGCTATTCGAGCGCATTTTCTGGAAAACCTGATGGAAGACCCTACAAGCCATTCCGCGAACATGCTCAGCCACTACGTCGTCGTCTGCGTTGGCCTGCCCTCTAGAGACTCTAGAGTAGCAGACATCCTAGCTGCCTGTCTTCAATTGTTGCTAAACACACTGGAAAATGTTTTAGTTTGACAAGCAATGGCTTTTATGTTTCATGGAAGAAGTGCGTAGTTGCACTAGAAAGCCGTGGGCATACACGGCAGCAACCGGCAACCGCGTCAGAAGCAGAGGTGATGCAGAGAGCACAAATTCTTGCACCGGTGGTTGGAATGGAGACATACACAGCGAGAAGCTGCTAAGCAGGCCCACAGGGAAAGGACATCTTAACAGACGCACAGCGGAAGCTCAGAACAGCGACAGCAATAATGCTGCGGGCGCGAGTAGAAAAGGACATCTCAACAACAAAAACGCAGAGCAGCGACAACAATAATGCTGCGGGCGCGAGTAGGAGGAAGGCACAGCAGTATCAGAACTCAACGCCCCAAAAAGACAATCCATAAAGTTCTTTTAGTGATGACAACCACTGCGCGGAAAGAGGATGTTGTAGTGCGGAGAACTCCGAAGTAACCCGGAAATGGGGTCGAAGGCTATAGAATTCAGCATAATGCTAATTGACCAAATAAGCAGTAGTAATCAGAGCTTTGTGCACAAAGTAGCTGAGTGGATTCTACAGTAAATACTTGACTATGTTCCTGTAACTGTGGACTGGCCTGGGATAATAATCCGTTGAGGAAACCCTCCCTTATTGTGCAATTGATACCTGCAGTAATGGTTTCCCGCCGTGCTGTGAGACAGATCGCTGCGTGCTATCTTCTCTAAAAGAGTAGGCAGTCAAGTATATTGAGGCGCTGCCAACGAGAAATTGTAGCATCAAACTCAACTGTTACAAGGTTTTGCCTGCCTTCTGTAACGACAGAACGGTGAACGACCCATTTCTGCCAGCGAGCCGATACATCCAGATGCTACTCAGTGGGTTAAGATATAGTCCTCTGAAATCAGCTGGATTCCTTGTCAACGCTATACACGCAGTACGATTACTGGGATTCTGCTGAACCGCAACTCACTGAACTCACCCAACCGAGCAGAGAAGGCTCATGACGTATTTAGCAGCTCACGAGGCCTGCTGCCAAAAGGCTCTAGTCTACTGAGGTTTGTAAGGATGATTCTCTCTTCAAGTTTGAAACCTTTGCCATGAGTTCTCAAGAGAGCGTGGACCGAATGAAGCCCGTGTGAATTCGCTGCAGACGCGCTTGGGTGCAGTTGCGAGACAAATTACTAGGCTTGCGGACGAAACACTGGGCAATCTACGAACAGAAAAAGGCTGGTAAGCACTGGGTTAGGAGCAGACGAATACACGTAAGCTACAAGTCTTGGATAAGCCACTCTTTCCTGCAGCACGTGGTGAAGCCAGTGTCTTCTACGGAATGCCCTTGACGCGGTCTCAGGAGTTAATGCTGCCACTCTTACGCAAGGTAACAAACAGATACTCAGGATACTATGGAAGCCCTCACTAAAAAAGTGCGTCTTCCACTGAGGTGAACGTGACTGCGATTGCTCCTCCCATGACCTGTGTACGAAGATGCTGTAGAAAGCCCCCAATATCGAAGATAACAATCCACCCGAGATAGCACTAGGGAAGTCAGAGAAGTCTAAGACTCCTTATATCGAAGTGCAACATGTAACGAAGCTATACTAACCTCCACCATATCCACCCCAGCATCCACAGTGGCCCACGTGAGGAAGAGTGATTGGCTACCTATGCATAACGCCACTGCGCTGGCCACAAATCGCCAGAATTGGTGGTAAACTGAAGGATGAAATGGAAGCACATAGAATATTCATTTTTGGAATAAACTGCCGCATAAAGCGTCAAGTGGAGGCCAAGTACTGGAGCCAAGCAGGATTCCTACACCTCTGTGGCAGGAGTGGCAGTTTATGCAGGGCTGTCTGAGGTAACCGCGGCGGGCCCTACCAATGACGACTGTCACTTACGAACGCTTCGAGGTGCGTCAAGTGAAACGTATCACAGTTAAAAGCTTATTTGGATTTCTCTTTTTTTCTGCGTGATAAGCGTTCTGCCCTCCCTCAGGCACCACCTCTCCTGGAGCTAAGAACTCTCGCGGCGAGGTTGCTCCAGTAGCACAACAGCTGACATTTCTAGGTTGTTCCGTTTTCTCTTCATTCTTAAATTTCTTTGTCTTGAAAATGGATGGCGCCGGCAAAGTTGGAGGAAAGGTGGGAGGAAAGGTTGGTGGCAAGGTTGGTGGCATGGGCAAGGGCGGGAAGGGTAAGGCTGGAAGCGGCAAAGGCAAGAAGGCTCCTCTTTCTCGCGCAGCTCGCGCTGGACTTCAGTTCCCTGTCGGGCGTGTTCACAGAATGTTAAAGAGTCGTATCTCATCCGAAGGTGAGGAGAACACTTCCAACCTAACCTGCTCAAGTGCGGATACATAAAGACATAGTGTACAGCAAAACGTCTGTGGTGTGGCTGCCTCACAAAGTGGTTTTTTGCTAAAGTCTTTGTAAGTTAATTACTCTGTCGTGTTTGTTTACGCCTTTTCCCAAGAGTGTTTAATTGCTTCAGCTGTGGTGGGTTCGGGTGGCCTTAGTGGAATGGCGGTACAACGTGTCTGGAGGTTTGCCCGCTTCCGTCCTGCGGTAACTTGTGCTCTTATTTGTTCCCGTGAATCATTTTATCCCAAGATACGGCTTGCACTTGCTGTTAACGCGCAAGATGTCGGTTCTTCAGGACCAGCAGTGTAGGGCTTGCACGAGGGATGACCTGTCCTTTTCTTTTTGAGCAAGTTGCAGTGAAGGATGGCTCTGCGTGTTGGTGTTCCTATTTAATGTTTAATTTGAATGCGTCTTACAAATTCCGTGACGGATGTTTGCAATCGCCGTAGATCGCACCAGCTGCTTGTGTGGTTCATGCGGCAGCACTAGGGGAGCCATGTTTTTCTGAGCAGGCCGCGTGGGCTCGACCGCTGCAGTGTATGCCTCGGCCATTTTGGAGTACCTTACGGCTGAGGTGCTCGAGCTGGCTGGTAATGCCTCGAAGGATCTTAAAGTGAAGAGAATAACTCCCCGTCATTTACAGCTTGCCATTCGCGGTAAGGTTCATCTCCCATTTCCCAGTAGGATGTTCGGTAGCTGCTGCAATCAGCAGTGCATGGTCTGCATGTTTTTATTCAGGTGACGAAGAACTGGACACGCTGATCAAGGCTACAATTGCCGGTGGTGGTGTTATACCACATATCCACAGGTCGCTCATGACAAAAGGGCCCACCACGCAGCCTCTGAAAAAGCCAAAGAAGCCAGAACTTGAGTGAATAATTAGAAGATTTTGGAACAATTTTGGGAGCCCGAAGAGTGATAAGCCTTGGTGTGCTCAGACCCAATTTGTCTTGCAAAACGTCAATTCTTTTTCTTGGATTTTGGGAGCCCCATTGAATCCTACACGAGCGCTAGCCCACATTAGCACACTAGGTTCTACACTTGAAGGATCAGACAGTTTTATTTCTAAAAGCACCGAACGGAGACGCTGCAAAGCGTCGTCAAGGGGTGAAGCATACCTGTGTAGTAAAGTAAACCAGTGCACGAGAAGTTGTCACGATGGTGCGTAGCTCAGCTAAGATGCGTCTAGATAGCATGTAAACCGGTGGGCGGGACTCTAGAAAAAATCGCTGTATACGGCGAGTGCGCATGATTAGTTGGTGTAAATTCGCGCCAATCAGGACTTATCCCGTCTGGGCAGATGGTACAGACAAATTTGGACAGCGTTGGCGAGCTTCACCTTCACTAGGGGACTCTCACTGTCTTCATGTGCTGCTTGTGACTCTGACTTGTTTCATCTTCTACGGCGGAAGTGTGCCCACGGGTTATCAAACCGCACCGAATGAGCCACCGGTTTGGGACTCGGCAACGAGGGATGAACCGTTACAAATACAGGCGGAGATTGATGCCAAAGGTGTCAAGTGTAGTTGTTTTAGCATTGCGCAAGCAGCTGGGGGGGGGTTACTTTAGCTCTCATTGCTTGGCTTGCCGTGAAAGCGCTCCATGTTTTATAGGATTTCTCCATTTGGTTAGGAAGCGAGTAAATGAGAGCTGCAGCGGAGCCAACTCTCTGCATGTGCAGCTGGTAGACTGCGCGTATTTCGAAGTCGCTCGGGGCGAAAGGCAGCAGCAACTGCTGGGGAAGAACGTAATTAACGCAAGCGAACCAAAAATAAAGGTTCGAAACGACCGCAGAACACAGTTGCTATGAGTGTAATCGCAATGCGTGTGGAGAAAATATGGCTGGTGGTTATACGAGTTGCTGCAGGCTGGATCGATTGGGTGAACCTCCTTCCTGCATTGTTGCTGATGCTTCGTTCACCGTTTCCTGCTTCTGTGCTCCCTTTGAATCGTGTCTAGATTACTGCGGAGTGCTGTGAGCTCCAGCTTGACAGATCCAGGGTGCTCCCTTGTCCTCCGCGCTCTGGACGAGTCCTTCACGCAGATGCATTGCTAAGATGTGAGTTAAGATGTTCAGTCATACCTACATACCTATATCTTCCGCTGCTAAACATCTAGTTTTTATTCGTATATATCCCCTGACAAATGCTAGTGCTGATTGATCCGAAGTATATTACCTAGGAAAGCGAGGATTTTTTGATATTTCCACAGATTGCTTTCCTGAACGACTTTAGCCAGCTGCACCAGCCATACAAAGCAAAGAGTGTTATCCTGGACAACTGCAGCCAGCTGCTCTAGCCATACTGCCTCCATATATGTGCCTTTTGGTCAGCCCTTGCATATTCCCTTGAGTAACGCCGGTGCCAATTGAAGATTCAAAATATGTAAGCTAGGAAAGCGAGAGCTTTTTGTGATGTTCCCAGAATAGAGCTGCCTGTTTCTTCTGCACTCAGAGCAGGTGGCTGCACTTGCTGCTGAACTTCGTTACTTGCTGGACATGAATAGTTTTCACGGCATAAGTGTCGGCATCTGTAATTATTAGCTGCAGTGCACGGTTAGACTATTTAACGGCATTTTTGCGCCCAGTGGTAGTGTTCTGGGTTGCACCTGGGCTTCCCGAGCCAGTCCGGCCCAAAGCAGCTTCCTGTATACAGTGACGATTTAATTCAATTCATAGCCTATTTCCTTCTGGCATTTTCGCGTCGCCCGCTGGAACAGGAGGCTTCATTGCAGTGGTGACCGCTTGTGCTATACTAAGTCATTACTGATTCACCCTTGTATACTTCCTAATAATGCACTGAAAAGTTGCATGCTGTGTCAGCGCATGTGACCAGACTAGTGCATCATTACCTTTTTTATTCAATGCCAACGACCACCAAGTCCTCCCGAAACCATATTACATCAGCTGAGCAGCTTGCATCCAAGAACTGCTTGAGTCTCACGGAGCCTTTCTAAATACACGCGAAGAACTACTGGTAAACTGATAAAACTGCCCAATTAGAATAGCAGAATGGAGGACAATTGAATATTCGATGGCTGTGCTGCGAGTATTGGCAGTCGTGCAGATCTTCAGTACGTTTTCACGGCTACACGCATCTTAGGAGATTTTGATGCAAAATGCAGTTCTTTTAGTAACTTTGGGTCCATGTCTCGTGCACATGTATCTTTTGCACACATCTGACGTGCTAATGATTTACTGAATCTTTTATGACAGAGCCCCTGGGTTTCCACATAATGAGAACAAGAAGCGTAGCTGAAAGTAGTGATGTTGATGTGTGAAGCGCAGTCCTAGGAGAGCTCATTTATTTTCTGATACCACACTGCGCATGCGTAACGCGGCTGACGCCCAATATGGGGCAGAAATTGGCATAAGGACAGATTCTAGCCGATTGTGCTTTGGTCTTGAAGCGGCTACTATTTCCGTCTTTCTAATCCCATGGGCAGCTTGTGGGCCACCGGACATTCCTCTGTTCCCTACTGTAATGTAAGTTTGCATTTGTAAGCTTCTCATTACTTGAAATCATTTCTGGTTCAGACACGCTTTGAGGTACTCTGGAGGCACGCGTGGGGCCAAGGGGCTTAGAAAAGTATTTTCAAAATCTGAGGCCTTCAATCATGGGGAGCTGCTAAAGGCACCTGCTGCTTCTTTGCATTCAGATACACTTAATCAGCGCTACTAAAGTCAAATAGCCTAGTGATCGCTCCTTCAGGAGCTGCGGCCTCAGCGCAGTGTGTCATCGGTCACATCCCGAGAAAAGTTCTAAACTGAAACAATTTCACTGTATTTACTTATAGTACGATTGCATTTGTACCGAAGACCACAATGAGCGCCATTTTTTCCAAAATAGGTGGCCAACTCGACCACGAAAAATAAAACGCCACGCCCTCACCTGTGCAACGTTTTCTCGACACGATGTACTAGCTATTTAAACGGCACTATAAGAGTTTGAAGCCCTTGCACCTAATTGAGTAAATGCATACAAAAAGACTACTTCCACAAACTGCAGCGAAGATCAATGAGGAACGGTAAGTCTCCAACTGAGCGCTTATACTACCAAGACAGCTATACAGCAAAAAGTAGGGAAGACCCAGCTAGGTCCATGTAGTTCCGAAAGAAACCTTTTGCTCTGTTGATGAGCTTGTCAACTGCAGATGCTTACCAGATTCGTAGGGCTATAAAATGTAGAGGCACCTTTACTGAGAAGTTACTCCCTCTTGAAGCAACAAGAGTGTGACAACGTAGCGGCTTGAGTCCCTCTCTCTTCAAGTTGTTCATCTAACACTGCTCTGGTATATAAAAAATGAAGTCATACGCTCTTTATTAGCAAAAAGCTGCACTTGCATGCAGTCACTGAAGGTAAGTTCGCAAACCCCGGAAAAACAATCTTTCGCGTTATTGTAGCCTGCCTTCAGCCACTTACAAGGTAAAGCAGCCGCGATTTATTATCAATCTTGAAGGCACTACAGCAGCTCTTGGCGCACAACTTGAGCTCCGACGAATCAAAAGACACATGCCAGTGTGTTGCGTTGCTAGAAAAAGACACAAACGCTTGTTATCCGCCATAGGCCTGCCACGCCACCTTTGTTGAAGCTGCTCAAGTATTCTGTGTGAGAAGGATATCTCCTACATCGCCGCGCACCAGTACGAAAACAGCCGTAGCAGGTGTACCGCCCTATGGTAGATGGTCGAGGTTGGACTTGCCTTTGCTGGAAATATCGTCAGTATGCCATGCGGAATGGCAGCAATGGCGAGTGCTGCAGATATCTGCAGTCCGGAGTGAAATGGTTGAGAGCGTTTATCTCAGCGGACAACCAACCTAGGTTAGTTAACTCTGAACGGGGCTTCGAGAGGCTAAAATATGTGGGGAGTTTTCGGTTCGCCTTACGAAGATCAATAGAGTACTTTCCCTGGAGTTTCTTCTCTCCGGAGTGCCGAGCTACTATTTGACCCTCGTGTAGAGCAAACTCTCCTTCCTTTGTTTAGGCCTCTTTGTTACCTGGATGCTCACAAGACGGCAAGCCACGCTGATTGTCGAGCGCGATTGGGTCTTGAACTACTCTGCAAAGGGCATGCTGCCTCCCACTCCACAGACGCCACCTATAGATGAAGCCGTACATCGCCTAATCTGTCTGCCTCTGCAGCTTTAGCCGTGAGCTCCGGGGCATCTAGGCCAGCGCCGAATTCTCGAACTGAATGCCTGTGGACTTCGCTGATGCCCTCACAGCGTCTGACGTGGCATTTCCTTCTTTCTTTCTGGCTTTTTACTCGTTTTTATATCAGGCTTCCATTTGATATACCTGTTGTCGGTATGCTTGCGTGCAAGCGGCATGCCAGCGCCTCTGCCCCTCTAAACGACAGGTCAAACCATCGGCATAGTTTGTTTCCTTTCAACGCCGCCCCCCAGTTTTCACTCTAGATTACTTTTATTTCGCTTCACAGACTTTGGAGCTTAGGCAACCACAAACCAGCAGAGAACTACCTTCCCAATTCCCCGCAACGTGCAACCAGCATACCAGGATGCAGATGCCGGATGCAGATGCCGCAGGGCATCTGCAACCTAGCCTTCAGCCAGAAGTTTAACGCGGGATTCTGAGTACAGCCCAAGGACAAAAGCAAAGCTAAAGGGTAAAAACAAAAGCTTCCAGTCCCCAGCGAGGCTGCGGGGACAAGAGGGTTGGGGTGTACTGTGGGGAAATGCTGACTTAGAAGGCAGCCAGTCAGTAAGACAGATTGTGTGCTGCACTGGACACACAAGATGCTGTCTAAAAGGCTGTCCAGAGAGAGTCGAAGCTGCACTAAAGAGCTTGGGTAGAACAGTGGGTATGTAATTTGAGATTATTTGCATAGTTTTGAACCTCCTTGGGATACTGAATCATTTCGTACCTTGATTATCCCGTTTGCAATAAAGCTACTGTAGTACAGGACGCAATGCATTCTTAGGGACTGTGCGTTCACCGTGACATTCGGCGAGAGGTTGCGTGTTTTTCTTTTGTACGCAGAACAATAGAGAACACGCAGCGCATTTGAACAGATAATAAAATCCTCGGAAAAACCACACAGTTGACGACACAGACATACCTTTTAGGAACTCCGAGTGCCATACTGCTTTTCCTCCTGAAGCGCATAAAGCTCGTTGACACATTCTGAACGATTACATCAACGGGACTCTGTGGACTATATTTGAGAACTAGTTGCGGAAGGATGTTCGCAGAAATAGGCATATTTACAATAGCAGCTGTGTGAGGATTTGCCCAATGATAGTAGTTACCATAGACTACCTTGGTAACTAAGCTGATGCCGGTCTTGGACCCGTACACCAACACTGGGTTCAGCTTCTCCTTGAAAACCACTGCACACGGACGAGGCATCGTACGAGCCTGCCAATCTCAGTCTCTAAAGACTTCTACAGGGCGTGCACTCGTAAAACGAGTAATTCGCCCTGGCAGGTGGAAGCATCTCGCTGGTGCGCTTCATCAAAAGGATTCGGCACTCAGTCTGTATGATCATTTAGCAAAGTATGGTGCATTTTCATCCGAGGGGATCTCACCTAAACTCTGGAGATCTCCTGCCCGCTTCTGGCATATACGGGTGTTCGGGAAGAAACAATGTCTTTATGCGGCGTCTTCCATTGTGGTTAGCCCAAGGGGTCAGGCGCTCCAGAGAAGAACCTACTTTTCCCAACAGAGGAGCCTTCGCTGACCTTACCAGGCAATTTCGTTTTGGTGCCGTGGTCTACTTACGTGTCTTGGCTGCATGCTGACCGATAGATTCGTAAGCCTTTCGTCGGACACTTCTGCCGCGCGTCTCCGGCGTTGCAGGATGCTTTCCAGAGCCCCATCCTTGCTTCTAAACAAGCAGCTCTTGCTGTCGTAATTTTTTGTCTTTGTTCCAGCGTTATCCACGCAAAAGTTTCTCTTCTCCAGATGGAAGGCGTCTTTGGAAGCACGCTTTTCGCAGTCGCCGATGATAGGGCATGCTTTCTCTTGAGGTATCAAAGCAGGCAGCTAGGGATATCATCTACGCAGACCTCCCAGCACTGTGAATGAGTTGAAGGATACTCGGCCGTTTTACGGAATTGCGACGATGCTGCAAGGCTTGGTTCTTCTAGTTGCCCGCGGCTTTCTTGACCGCTAGACAACGCTTGAAAGAGCATCGCCAGTCTGCTCACTATCGTCCTCCTTCGCAACATCTTGAGCAAGCCTTTGTACTGACGCTTCTTCAAAATGCTTTATTCAGCTGGCTCAACGTTTCTCGCTTTTGGTGGTTGCCGCACTGAGAAATGGGGTTCCTGACCAGGACTCCAGGCCTCGTAGCTCGGTATGAAAACGTCGACGCAGCGCATCTTAAGCTATTTTTCTAAAAATTTTCACGTCACCTGTTCTTTCGCAGCCGTGTTATCCGTGACTAGCGTTTCGAGGATGATGCCGAATCGTCTGAAGCTCAAGGCCCAAAAACTATATTGATGAGGGTAGGAACTAAAAGCTGCATTCTGTTTTCGCGGATGATTTGCAGCGTAGAATTCTTGACGGCCCAATTTCCCTACGGGAACACGCTCTGCAATGGTCGTCCTACCGGATATTTCAGAATTTTTTTGTTTCTTGCCGCCGTCTACCATGTAGCCACGCCTCTAACACAGGAGTGGGTAGCAGCACTCGGCTTCTCCCGTAGCCCTGATTCCGAACTACAACAGTGCCGCATTCAAACTGTAGAGATATGATAAGCTTAAAGTCTCAAACTCAATACGCGTCACATAGTTTTTATTATTATGCCGGAATTTAAATATCATCTTCATTCTTGCAGTCTTGTGCCCAGGTAATTCCTGTTTTAGGTGTAATTGCGGCTGTTTAATCGCTGGCAAAATATCACAGGATCAATTGTAGAGAGGTACTACAAATCAACGCATCGAGTGAAAGTCACACAACTATTGCACTGTGGCTATGGAATCACAAATGCATTTCAACGTCTTTCTAACTAGTTTCCTTCTAGTTATAGCCGTTGCAGTGACTTCAAACGTATGTACAGCAATCTCAGCATCCATGCCATTTTTTTCGTGACACACGTCACCTCCGCCAGTCCGCGCCGTTTTTTGGTGTCTTGTTGAGTCTCACAGCCTCTTTGATGCTTAAGCTGCCTGCAATACCCTTGATCTACACTGAATTATAATAATTAAGAGAAAAGACAAACAGTATATGGAAACGTTCCAGAAATACGGAGATACAGCAAGGTCTGGTGTTGGCGACCGCTGGGACGAGAGGCTGGCTGGTGTTACTGCAATGAACGTTATACCACCGGCAACAATCTTGGGTGCACTAGCTTCCAGGTGCAAAGGAAAACATTACACACTGCAAATTATATACAATGCATTTTTCTCTAGATTATGAAGAGACGGAGCAGCTAGCCACAGGCATTGTAGTAGCTAACTGTCAGTGCCGCTGCTGCTGCAGCAGCGGGGCAGGCAGCAGCACAGCGGCGGCACCCTTGGCGACTATCCAGGCTAGGGTGTCAGCTTGCCACAAACAAAAACACGTTCCATAGTTTATTGCTGTCTCTGTAATTTCTTGTCTCTTTCTCTCTTGGTGTTGCTGCATCAGCAGCAGGCACCAGTTTCTCAGACAGGCCACCTCTCAACGGCAGCAGCCACTGCAGCAGCAGCAGCAGCAAAATGGCGCCGGCACGCCCCAGCGTGAAGTCTGCTCGGAAGGCCCCTAAAAAGTCTTCGGCAAAGAAGCCCTCTAAGGCAGCTGCAGCAAAGAGCACAACCAGTGCCAGCAAGAAGGCTTCCCGTGCTCCGTCTGCTGCCCCAGCAGTGGCAGCAGCAGCATCAACAGCACCCAAGGCGAAGAAGACCATCCGCAAGAAACAAACAAAGCCGGAAAAGACGAGAAAGCCTAAGAAGGCTTTAAAGCAAACAATAAAGAAGACAGCTGCGAAGAAGCCCAGGAGCAGCAAGAAAGCATGAGCAAGCCGTCCTCATTGCTGCTGCCATACCAGCAGACCTCAGTGGCACAGAATAGCAGCATGTCGTGCTGCTGATGCTGCCGCAACGCACACTGCTGCTCGCCCGCCTGTCCGTGTCAGGGTATCCGCAGCAGCTGTTGATGCAGCAGGGAGGCAAGTGCTGGAGCACCTGCCGCAGCAAGGGGAGACGGAGCGGAGGCTGCAGTATCGCCGGCGGCGAGTACAGCAGCAACGGCTCAGTTGCTGATGTTGCACGTGCTGCAACAACAGCTGAAATTCGTCTCTCATTCCGGGAACTCGTTGGAGCGTTGCCGCTGCAGCAGCAGCGGCAGGGTTCAGCAGCAGATTGACTGCATTTAGTAGCACTTTTTTTCCCCCTTAGGCTTCCCTAGAAGCCACCAATCGTATGTGCGTGCATTCAACTCTGCTCTCTGCTATGATTACTGTGGTAGGGGGTACGACAGTTGGAGTTGCTGCTGCGCCGACAGTGTAGTTGACATCTTAGTGCGCGCAGCTGCTGCCTGCTGTGCTCACGCTGCACGGGCTGCGGCATCTGCTGCTGAACGTGCTCTCCGTCGGTGGTGTCACTGTTGCAACACCTACGTTGCTGCTGTTTGCTTCGTCAGGTAGCAAGTGGTCCGTGTCCCAGGGTTAGGTGTAACGCACCTCGTGAAGTGCCGAGGTCAACAATTCCAAATTGTCTACTTCGGAGCGCCGGCTGCCGGGGAACACTTGAAGCAGTTGCTACAGCAACGGGTGCTGCACAGACTGCTGCAGCAGAAGCAGCACCGGTCGCTGCTGTAAGGGCAACTCTTGGCTATACTGCTAGTAAATGTTTTTGGAGTGCAGATGCTTTGCGGCTACCCGCTTTTGAAAATGGCAGCAGCTGTGGCTTAAACATAAGCAACGGCTGTAAAAGCACAGCTGTACAGTCGAGCTCGCTGCTCCTGTTGCAGCCCCTCGTTTCCCTAGGGTGCGGCTCTAGCGACTCGCTGTTGCTCTAGATGGTCCGTCCAGTCTCTCTCCAAGCTGCTGATTGCACATTTCGTCTTTTCGTAAACGATCCAAGAGAGAGACACGGCAGGTAGTGCCTTGCAGCAGTTGGCTTGCAGCCCTCTGTATAGGCCTCGTAGCCCACCTTGGCGCACTGCTGCTGCAGCGGCTGCCGCGCTGCTTCGATATAGCAACGGCTGGCCGCCACTTCCGTCCACCTGCATGCGTGTCCGCACCAGGGCAGTTGGGTACGCCAGAACCTGGCCTATGAGGCTGCTGCAGCCACCCATCAGCAGCAACACCACGGCGGGAGGCGACGCCGGCTGCAGCAAGCTGGTGCTCGTGCTCTGGTCACAGCAACAGCGAGCTCGCGAGGCCAGCACAGCTTGCGCCGTCGGAATGCTTGGTACCATGCCTGTGTGTTCGTTTGTTTTTGTTGCCGTTGTTGAAGGAGCATCAGCAGACGAGAGTTCCACGGATGCAGAGGAAGGCTCGGGGCTGCAGTTGTTGCATGTTTTGCGTTGCTCGTGGTGCTGCTGTTGCTGCCGCCGTTGCTTGGGTAGCATGACATTCTGCATGTAGGCTTCTTTAAGCGTCTCGAAAACGGCTAAATCAATGCCCGCATAAGGAATGATGCCCAGCAATGAGGGCCCCACACCTCTGTAGAGTCGTTTCAAACCTCCTTCTCTGTAAATTTCCCGGAAACACTGCAGTACTCCTGTGTACATGCAACCTGGACCGTATGCAGCCAAACGCGTCTTGACCTACAGACACACAAACCGTGCACTCTAGACCGAAGTCTTCCATTATGAAGACGGGAACTCAAGACCCGAATACCGCTGAATCTACGAACCCTGGGAAGGCGAGCCTCATTAAGGCGTGCCCGTGAGAAGCTAGTTCGTTTGGTGCTACAGAAAGTTCTGCGTTGCTAGGTGGTGTTTACAAGCTCCATAGGGTATATAAGAAGCTGGGCACAGAGCCCCGCCATCGCGCCACAGAGAAATTTATCCATGAGCTGCAAGTGGGGTTCTCCCAGTTCCTCATGCTGCTGCTGCGGCGCTTGCTCGGGCTGCTGCTGTTGCTGCTTTCTACGTGCAAGCGTGTGCTTGCAAATGTCGTAGCTGTAGAACTTGACCGCTGTCTCGGGCACAACTTTTAGGCAGTTGGTCAAGTTGCCCCGGAAGAACCCCCGCCAACCACCGAGAAAGAAGTGACTGCAACAGCTCCCATTGCTAGAGTTGGCTTTGCTGCTGCAGCTGCCGCGCTTGATGACGCTGGGGGGCAATGGACGAAGCACAGCCTCCCGCACTGCTTGCTTTCGGTGCTGCTGCCGCAAAGCGGTCCCTTCATCTTGCTTTGAGGATTGCGATAACTTCCGTTCGACGCAAATTGCGGCTGCGCTGCCGCTGTTTCTCCGCGTGGCGGTAGCAGCACCCGAATAGGCAGGATCAGCGACAGCCGTAGAAGCCTTACCTGACAGCTCCTGTTGCATGATCACCCGTGCTGCTTGCCTCAGCGGTACCGAGATGGGCTGCAACTGAAGAATCACTTTAACTCGGTCAAGGGGAGCAGTAGCTGTGCGCGAGACGGCACCTGCGGCGCAGCGTAAGCCCAAAACCACAAGCTACAAGGTATTTGAAGAGCGACCCAGCGTTCCCGCCTGTCTTGTCCAGCAGGCCAATAAACAGTCCTGAAAAACCAGTACCCAGGGTCTACGGTTTGTTCCATGGGCTTAAGGGACCCCACCTGCCACAGCTCCGCTAGTGAGATGTAGGAATGCATGCGTCCGCATGATCTGCAGCATTTTGGGGTCTTCATCTTCCCCTCTCCGGTGGATTTGATGTTGCTGCTGCGGCTGTTTCTGTTGCAGCAGCTGCTGCTGTTTATTTAAGTCTTCATTCATACCATACAACGGCAGCTGTTGCTGTGGGACTGCTGCAGCGGAAGCTGCAGACGCAACGGCAGGGCTGCTGCTACACTTGAAAAAATGGCCCCTGTTGGAGGGCAGTCTAAGCACAGCTCCGTGGTCTGCAATGCTTAGTGTCGAAGAGAAGGAAATACAGTTGCAGCAGCTGCTGATACTGTCGCAGTGCGTGCTGCTGCAGCAATGCAAAGCGGAACGGGAAACCGGCCGCTCAGAACACACACCCGCCGGCAGTGGCTCCGCTGCTGTTGTTGCTGCTGTCGAGGGCGTCGCTGTTGATACCTTGGTTACGGCCGATGGCGTGGCATGTGCTAGTGCTGCTGCACTCATGCCAGCAGTAGCAGCACCTGTTGTTGCTTTATAGTCAGAAGCACTGGCTGGTTCAGTGCCACCAGAACCAGACACAGTGCTGCAGCAGCTACGTGCTGCGCATACAAGCCGCTGATATACGGTCTCGACTGGACTGTTGATTGGCATAACATCAGCAGCTTCAGATCCACTAGAACTTGCAGTATTAGCAGTGCCAAGGAGTGATGATGCTAAGCTGCTGCAGGCGAAGGGTTGAAGGCCCGCTGACCAATTTCTACGGTTGCTCCACGCAGTTTACCCTCCCTGCTCCTCTGCTCGTTCTTCCTACGGCTATCTTTGCGGTTTCTTCTGCTGTTATGCCTGCTGTTGTTGCTGTTCGTGCGACTGCGCTTGCTGCCGCAGCAGATGCAGCTGCAACGGCACCTTGTAGTCCCGTTCCCTAAAGATAGCCAAATCGAGCCCCAGTGGAAACAGGCTTGGAGTGTGGAATCCACTGAAGCCATCGATCCGTGAGAGAGCTTCAATTACGGCATTTGTGGTGGCCGCTGCAGCTGTTGGCGCTGCTGCAGCTCCTGCGCCATATGAAGCAGCAGGGCTATTTGTGCTGCCTTCTCGAGAAGTGTAGAATCCTTTCATTACATCTTCTATTGGAAGGACAAGTGCTGTTATGCTGGCTTGAGCGTAAGGCATCTAGTGATGGGAGAAAAGGACCCAGCGCATGCAGTCGAAGGCTTCTTCATCTTGAAGCATCGGCAGCTAAGCTCCCTCTTCATATGCGTCTTTTTACATTGACCTTTGCATATTTGAGCGAAATATGAATATCTTCCTAAGCCCTCAACAGGGAAACTGAAACACAGCCACGACGGCCGCAGCAGTAGCAGCAGCAAGGGGAACTTCACTCAGCTTTATCCCCTTTCTTTGTTCATTGGGCTATATTTGACATCAAGAAGGGTGCGGTACACCTTTTCCTTGTTTTTTCAGAACCTGGACACCAGGCACATCTACGGGAGTCTGGTGTCCAAGGTTAAGGATGGATTCTCAACCTTCTGTCCCTCTCCCACAGAGCCAAGTGGCTCTGGCTTGCAGAATCTGCGCCTGTGAACTACAAGACAGACACGCCCTCAGTGAACATCATAAAACTCTGTGGCACTTGTCAGTAAATAGTAAAACATTAAACGCAAACGCCGTTCCCTAATAGGCGCTTCCCGGACCAGCGTGACGGTTGGGTCAACTCTAAAAGCACCTTATGAGTGTGCCTGTTTTTATTGTAGCCTCAGTTTCGGATTTTTCACAGTGCATGTAAATATCCTGTGCTATAGCCCTGTGCCTACTGCATATCCACTTCAGGTACAACATGCGTCGCCGCAGTCAACAGTTGCCGTCTATCCCTGAAGCTGAGTTTAAGAGAAAGACTGAACTGTTACGTTTAGCTCGAGAGTATGCGGAGGGGTGTGGTTCGCTTGGGACCTCCCAGCACATGGCTGTACAGGAACAGGGGCTCACAGGCGCTGCGGCTGACTTTCATGCTGCCGTGCGCTGCAATGTTAAAGGGAAAGACCACTTAAAGAAACATCAGGGCTATCAGAGAAGCGAGAGAGGTGTGACAACGTCAGCTTCAAGGGGCAGCAGCAGACAGAAAGCAACAGCAAAGGCTGCAGCTGCTGCATGGCGTGCTGCGCTGTTACAGCATCCAGAGAGGTGCAACTTATTCGAACAGATGCCCGCATTCCCTTCAGCCGCAGAAAACCTAAGCTACATGCGCAAGACATACGGATTTTTTGTACGTCCCTTTGCTGCTACCTAGTTGCCGCTATTGCCGGATCCACCTCAGTTGCCATGACTGAGCGTATGATTCCTACTGCTTCCTCTTAGCTGGTGCTGAGCAGCATCATGATTACGCGGAAATTGATGCATGCGAAGAGTTTGATTCGGTTCTGACTGCTGTCGCTCTGCTACTCTTGCTTTGGCTCGTGTTTGCTTGCTGCTTGCTGTTCCTGTTGCGTGTGTTGCCCCTTTTGGTTGTGGCTGATTTTTCAGCTGCATGCATCATTTGCTGTTTCCAGGTCCCAGACGAGGAATACTGCGTGAACTTACCAGGGCTTTTGCGCTGCTTGTGGCAGGAGCAGCAGAAACAGCCACGCTGTCTGTTTTGCTGCAGAGGGTTTAAGGGTATTCGCGCCGCACTCCAGCACATGCAGCAGCAGCGGCACTTCCAGCTCAAGTGGGACGAAGAGCAGCAAGACATGTTGCACCGCTTTTATGACTACAAGAGGTCTTATTACGAGGTTCGGGTTGTATTAGAAGGCTCGTGTTGTGTGAAATGTGCGGGTATGAGGCTTAGCAGTTTTTCCTCAAATGTGTGATCTGGGTGCCTTCGTGTGCGCTTGGTGTATGGCGGACTGCCACTTTTTGCCATCGTGCGTCTGCAGCTCTTGGGAAGGCTTCCTGAAGTGAAGAACGCGCAGCTAGTGCTCCCTGACAACCCCAGCAGCAGTATACAGGACGCAACGTCCCCCTTAGCAGCAGCAAAACAAGCAGAACGGTCATTGGAAGCGGAGGCAGAAGTGGTAGCAGGCGAAGATGAAGGCGATTGGGAGGACTGCAGCAGCGACGAGGAGGGCAGCGCGAATGCCGCCTCAGAGCAGCGAAGACTTGAAGAGATGCTTCAAGCCAGGTGAGTCTTTTTCGAGCCAGAATGCTGAGCTGTACTGAGCAGTTGACGTGCACGATGTACAATGTACAGGCTGTAACGTTTGCAATTTCCTTGCAGAGGATGGCGGCATGCACGCGTGACTGATGAGGGGAACTTGCAACTCCCTAGTGGCCAAGAGTAAGCGCCGGGATATATGATCCAGCACTGGATTATACGGTTCACGGAGCATTCCAGGATTGTTTTTTAGGACTCTGAGGCATTTACACCACAAGTGGCTGCCTTCAGCAGTATTGAGAATGTTGGGCTGCGGTGAGGGACGAAGTTTTGTGTATGGCGTTCTGCTGCTCAGAGTGCTGCATCGATCCCACGCAATTTTTTGCCGTCAGCGCGTCAGGCGTGTGGAACGTCAAGAGGCCGAGCAGTGTGTGCTACGCGATATGGCAAGAGTAAGTGACAGCTGCTGTTCTTCTGTGGTGCTGTTGCTACCCTTGGTTATTTGTAGGCGTAGTATGGTTTGGCTTTGCCTCTACTTGATCTCTTCTGGATCGTCACGAGTGAACCTTTTCAGGGGGTAGGGCGGATGCTTATGATTGTCTAGCTGCTACTACGACTGCTTGTAGCTGGAACGTCGAACGGGATAGCTTAATGGCTCGTGTGTTCAGGGCCTAATCCTGCCGAACGTGAGTACCATCAGCAAGTGGTCCGTAGCTCTCTACAAGCGGCACAAGCTTCACAAACAACTCAAGGTGTCAAGGGGTGACACACATATGCGACAGGAGCAGCGCGTGATGCTGGCTCCGCAGCAGCGCCGTCTGATCTGGAAGCGAGAGGCGGAGCAACAGAGAAGGTTGCAGCAGCAGCGCATGAAATTGGGCATCATGGCAAACATTCTTAACCGGACGATGCTGAGGGACACTAAGTACTTTTTGTGAGCTGGATTCCACAAGCGAACTGTCGCGCACAGCTGCGCTGTTGCAAATTTTACGAGATGTGGACGTGCATCAAGACAATTCGTGTTAGTATTCACAAACAAACCTAAACAGTCTCCTAGCAAGAGGAACAAGCGTCACGCTGGCGCTGCAGTTGCAGTGGCACGTGCTTCACATGTTAGGGCAGTAGACAACAAGCTGAATCAACTGTTCCTCTCGTACAGTTTGCCTCCTATGGCAGTTTGCTGAAAGGACGCTTGATCGTTGTAGCTTGTGAATGATATGCAATCTCAATTTCCAGTAATAACGGCATTGTCTAAGAGGTGACATTGCAGGGTTACAACATAGTGCTACAGCTGCTCATCTGCTCGAATGCCTCGTTTCCCCGTGTCGTATGCCTAAGCCCATCCGACTCATTGGGTTGTTCGTTCAGCAGTGTCGTGCGCACACGTGATAATGCGCTTCATCATGCATGCTTGGCAGCCGCGTTCAAAATAATGCGCAGCATAAGCAATGCAGGAAATTGGCTGTCGGCTGCGAGATGTGGAGGAGTATGCAGACGAACGCCACAATGGGAACAGGAGCATGCCTGCGACAATAAAAGGAGAGAGACAATTTGTCGAGTGCTCACCACTCGTGTACTCAAGTGTGCACGTAGCGAACACACTTCCAGGTGCTTGTCTCCCCCTTCTGTTGTCATAAACGCGATCCTGTGTATCCACAGTGACGTTTCCTCATGCACTCAAATATAAGCAGCAAGAAACAGGTAGATAAGTGTACGAGAACTGTGGCTGAGTCGCCTCATCACCCGTAGTTGTCAGTAGTCTATTCACATCTTCACTGGTGCTCCTTTTCATACGAGCGAATACAAAGGACAGGAGACCTGCTCACTGCTGCATTTACAAAATGGTCTTTGCGATGGGTCGCGGCAGGATCGCAAGTCCTGCAGTGGTGGTGAGTGTTGCTCTTGTCCTCATGTTACCAAGACGCTGAAAGCAACAGCGCCTAGCCGTCGCTCTTCTGTATGCTTAGAGACCGAACATTGGGAAGCTCTCACGTACGAAGTCTTTGAAGTTTTCCTTTGTAAGGGGCACAAAGGCATCTCCATTTGAGTCGGCGTAAAAGAGAAGCCAGGAGCGGTGACATCCCCTGTCTTTGCATGAGGACCCTTTTTTCCCGCTCTCCTCACTGTCTAAGAGGCCGCACAGGTCTTCCAAACTCTTTCGGTGACAGCCGTTGCCAGAACAGTCCCCGCAACAACCATTGTTGCACCCACCGTCTTTGTTGCCTGCCTTGCACGGCTTGCACGTACACATTTTGCTTTTGAGGTCCCGGTCGCCACTCTGGCAGATGGAAAAACAAAGCTTCAAGACATTTGGACGAATGGATAACTGGATGCCGCGGTCAATGCTGGTTCGGAGCCTTCGCAGAAAAGCGCGTAGAGTGATCATGGCTGCGTCGTTACCAGCTTGATTTCCGTCTTCCCTCTTCCAACCGCTCGCCTCCTCCTCATTACCAATGACAATAAGGCTATTCTCTATGCTAGGGGGGCAGCAGGTATAAGTCCGATTGTCACCAAGTTCACCCTCTTCTGTGGAATCATTTGCTCCCAGCTTGACGTGAATGCAAGCAAGAAGGCACTGAAAGCAACACGCATTTAGTCCATACGAGGAACATGTGTGCACCTGATGATGCCTAACTAGAAGCAAAATGTTTATCTCATTTCAGATTGTGGATTGGCCCAATAGCCTACCTTGACCCTGCGGTTTTGTTCTCCGGCTTCTAGGAGCTCGAAAATAGTCTTCGGCCATCCGCCCTGCAGAGTTTTGATATTTTCTTGGGCTAAGTTGTGATTTGTCTGTTCCCGTTCCTTGTTTGAAAAGACGGGAAGGCCCTGCACACGTGCGCCGAAAACCCCCGGTAGGCGTCCAAGAAGCTTCCCCAGATCTAGCAGCGGCGCCGCCATACCATCCACAAGAAAGCTAGTCCCTGTGGAGACATAAGAAAAGCAGACACCTCAAATGATACAACCTGAGCCGTAAGGCCAAACAAAGCCATGCACCGCTTGCAAGCCGTGTCAGAACCGGTGGCGACACAGGAACATTACAGCCTCTGGATGGTCAAATGAAGGGTGCACTGCCCACCAACGCGTTTGGAGAGGTAGAGAAAACCTGCTGCATCTCTCTCTACAATGTCCCCAGATCGACACCAAATATCGTTTGACTTCAGCAAGTCTTTATACAGGTATTGTTCAGTTTTCCCTTCTCCTGTGAAGAGGCATATGCCGTGCTCTGGGTTCACTTGCGATACCAGTTCACCTGAATGCCGCAAAATCATGGTACTCGCAAGTACTAGAAGACGCGACGCCGGCTCACCTGCAGAAACAGCAGGTTGCAGCGACAAAACAGCGGTCCACATGTGAACGTACCTCTCTGCACGAGCGTCCTCTCGTCCCTGGGGGCTGCCATCCCCATCTTCGTAACCGGGTCTCTGAAGATTTCCTCCCTTTCTTCATCAAATTTTACGATACGTTCAAGCTCTCTAGAATTCCAGGAGTTGTCGGGGACGAAGCCGAAGGCCCCCGGTATGCTCCAAGCATTGAAGAGGATCTGAGGCGTCTGGAGGTTCCTTGGAGAATAGAATTCCAGAATGCGAGGGATGTTGAAGACGCTTTTGACCACAGGCCACAATTCCCCAGGCAAGCCCGTACCTATGCTGGCCCGCAGTTGCGGATGACCCACCCAGGAACCCAAACGCTGTGTCTCGTCTCCCGCATTGAAGCGTTCGTGGGCTTTGAGGAGCCTTGACCACAGCATGCCTGTGTGGAAGATGATGGTGGCGTCTAGAGCCTTCACATCAGGCCATAGAGAGAGGAGACTGCATCGAGAACGCAGCAGCAGAGCTCCCCTGCAAGAAATTGCTGCAGCCAATGCGTGGAGCCCCACCTCGTGACATAACTGAACCCCCAACAAGAGGCGGTCCGACTCTGTCAGATCCACGGCATGCACCCAGCACAAACCAGCGGACAGAAAACGGCTGTTCGATACCCATGTAGCTCGTAAGTGCCCCTCCAAATCTGCGGTATACAGGCAGCAGCACGGCAGGGCCATATCGGGGCATTCGCGTTCATGCATGTGGTCACGCTTCTGCTCATCAGCCTTGGAACGTGCTGACAGGTGGTGGAGACGTTGTTTTAAAAGCAGTGGAAATCCAGAGGGCTTGCATTTGTGCTCCTTATCATGTTGTTGTTCAACGTGCTGCTTGTGGTAAGCCACTTCATCCTCAGTGAGGAATTCTTTGACAATGCTGTGCACTTGAGGGAGGAGCTTGTGCTCTCCCGCATCCTCTTTTGCATCTTTAAGTCCACATATGAAAACCGAGCAAGGATAGGAGCCAGGCTGTCCCTCATCATCATGTAGGACCGCAGAAACTGCCGCATCAATTTCCTCAGTGGAGGGCTTCAGCCAAGCAGTCCTCATGGAGCTAAGAGTAAGGTCATCGCATATAAGCATATCTGCCTCTGATTCTTGGAGAGCTCTCCGCAGTAGGCTCCCGCGGAGCTGAGGATGCAGTAAAGCCACTGTGATTCCCGCTTTCAGTAGACCCAAAAATACAACTACGAATTCTGGACTGTTGTGCATCATCAGGGCAGCTACTGGGGTGCTGCGTTTACAGTCAGCAGATGCGTGACTACAATTGCTGCTCTTACACGAGCCACATGGTGTGCCGTTACTTTTCTCTCGTCTGGCCGCCCAGGCCGCAACGCTGTTACTTGCATGGTCTGCGTGACGATAGGTCAAGACCCTCGTGCAACACTCTGCACAGAGTTCCCCACCCTCATATTGTCCTTCGTCAGCAGCGGCTCCATACACCAGGAAAACGCGGTCTTCAGCTTTCTCGGCCATTTTTTCGAAGAAGCGCGCTACGGTTGTGTTGCGCTCGCGCTCAAGGACCCTGAGTTCATCGTGCCTCGCAGTGAGCTGCGCGGACCAATCCTTTTCAATTTCTTCCAACGACTTACCTGTCTCGCTCTTAATGCGAGACTGAAGCCACTGAGAGACTTCCTCTGTGACGTGCTTGTCCGTCATTTTCTTGTTCTGTTCGAAAATTGCAACAAACTGCACAGAAAGACGCAGTTCAAGGAAAAGAGTTCAGTTGACTATTCGGAGAAGGATCAGCGTTAGGATGTAGTTCCGCCCTCAAGCGAAAAAACCAGAATACAATCGAAGCAAGAACAGCATTGGGCCAGTGCGTCAGTGCGGCTAACACACAATGGGTACGATAAAGAGCAAAAACACTTAGCCTAATGGTCCCAAATCGGACAAAAGTGGTGAGGAAGTGATTGTGAAGCAAGTATCAGTGGAATTCGATTAGCTCACAGGTTCACAAGGAGAGGCCTTGAGCCACTGGGTCACCCCGACGGGATAGGTTTGCAAAGATGATAACCCTCAAAAACGGCGCGCACAACTACGTACAATATCTGATTTCTCTAAATTCATGTGTTCCGATCTGTCATTTCCAGTGTGCTTCTGTGACAGGAGGAATCCACACACACAAAGCAGGGCTTTGTGGTACCGGCGCGTGTTGGCGGCTCGAATACGTGCCTTGATGGTACCATTCACCAACCAGTTTATGCAGAGAGTGAGTGGCTCAGCCCCTTGTATTATTTATGCTTATTTTGCTAATTTTCACTTAACTGTTTTTGGAGCATAGAGGAGAGCTGCAGTTGGTAACTTGCCGAGGATTTGCGGAGGTCACCGCAACAAGCCTGCTTTGGCTGTTGTTGCCATCTTCCTGTGTGCATGAGAGTTACGTTCATTGTTAACCTATTGTCTATATTATCATTGACTCCCCCCATAGTCAGAAAATTTGTATTCATGTTTAACATCACTACGAGAAGCAGCTTGGCCAGGCGGTGTGGGAGTATCAGCTGAAGTGTAGGTGTTTGCCTTGATTGAGAAGAATAAGTGACCTAACAACGGTTTCCTGCCACGAACCTCCTCGAATCATGGGATGCAAACATAAATGTACAAATAAGCGAGAAGACACTTGAGCTTTAATTACAGACCTTTTGTAGTGCCGGGCACTACAATTGACCTTCGTCACTACCCCCGAGTCTTACTAATGCGAAAAGCATGGATAATATCGAATATCTTAGGCCATAAGGCACCGTAGGCTAGTGGAAATTCATAAGAGCGAACAAAGAGCTCGCACCGGGTGCGAGGCTGACCACGAGGTTGGTGCCGCGACGCGACTCGGGCACTGACTCACAGCGAAGGTCAGCTTTCAGTTCTATTATTTTGGGTTTACACACCTCATGATAATATGAACTCAATTGTACGAGGTAAATAAGGTATTCCATAGTTGTCAACTAAAGT